GAGGATTGAGAGTGAATTTAAAATCTCCTGGGATTGATATCAGTTTATTTACTGACCAGCTTTCAATCACATTTGGACGTACTTAAATTCCCATTCATTTGCAAGCATGTCAAAGCGAGTCAGTGATAACAATATCGCTCTCGGTCTTCATTCATTTTAGAGTGATCCGAACCTTGCAAGTGGTGAATTGTTTTGTATAGATCACTCAATTACTGTAAAATAATAAAAACAAAAACAAAGTTGCTCTTTTTAGTTCCGTTTGTTTGATATATACAGTCAACATGCAACAACCTACTACTTAGGGAAGAGTTCTTTGACAAGAACGTTTGCAGGTCGTGGCACATTGATGAGATCTGGCCACAGCCAACAAAATGAACCCAGTAGATATGAGACATTGACCTAACGGGTCTATACCGTTTGGTTACCCTCCGGCTATTTTAAGCTAACGCATAACTAAACACTGCAGACCAAATCGCACAATTTGTAACTTGAATTTATTAGATGTTTTAAGGCGATGTGAAACTGTTCCGATGGTGTTTGTCATTATCGGAGCTTCCAAACTGGTTCGGAAATATAATAAGCAAACTTACTCAAACTCTGTAGGAGTGACTTCACCCAATGCCAAACTGACTTTATTAGTAATATGAACTTTGATTGTATAGTTCCCTGTACAACCGTCTGCTGCTTGGATATGGCCATATTAAACCGCATGTCTGAAACAGGAACAACGAGTGTTGGAGATAAAAGCCTAGATTTGTGCACAAAAGTGCTATTGCATTGCAGGGTATTGTATTGTATTGTATTGTATTGTATCTTAATGACTTGCTCGGGCAACTACGCCCAAATTTCAGTCGAAAAATGTGATCACCCTTACAATTATATAAAAAACTAAAATTCATGTACAAAACGACTGAATTTTGAACAGAACTTCATCTTTGTTGGTTTAAAATTAGTTCGTTTCAGATCTTCATCTTGCCAGTTAGAATACGAGCCAGATAGGGAACCGTTGAGTTGCGTTAATTGTTAATGCAGTTAAAGCAGCAAAAATTGGATCGGGCTGTAGCGTTGGAACGGCAAGCAGATATATCGGGATTGAGCGGATGACTGGGGTCGTTGAATATTGTATAGGAGAAATTATCACGTGAAGTGATATGAAAATCATGCAGTTTTGCGATTAGAGTGTTTAAAGGAATAAGAGAAACTCGGCTCACATGAGCTGTGATAGAAGGGATCTTTGACTGTATTCGGGCTACAGACAATGTAGGAGCGTATGCAGTAACCACGACCAAGCAGCGTACGTTTGATTCCTGCTTATATTGACTTGACTTGACAGCTCGGACTCTCACTGCGCATAGTCGGTTATCTACAGGGTTCTCTTGGACATAGCGCTTAAGGCAATACCAACGCCTACTTGAACAAACGCTGGTGCGACTCAGTCCCCGGATGCGCGCAAATAAAAGGCTTCTTTTGGGTTTGAATAAGACGTCAATTGGATTACTGAGCTGCTATTCTCAATACGTGTTTCCGACAGGCAACATACACATCAATCTGTAGACTTGCGAACGCTCGAGCCAAACTTGTTTCTTCTTCTATATACATTGATGCTCTCACATTGAACGGAGCCAGTTTGAACACAGTGACTTAGAAGGAATTGAGCGGTAAGTTTCGAGTGAGACATTACTGCTCAGACAGATGTCGACGAGGACAATGGTGAACGACAACATGAATGTACGTCAGTGGAACCGTTGGAGATAGAACTTAGAACTGAAAAGTTGAAGTGCTGTTTCGGCGATGAGAGTACGTGTTGTGTACAGATTTCGAGAAGAGGCAGCTATGCGTGGATGTAAATGTGCGAGGCATACATGAATGTGTGTGTCCAGAGTTAGATTTTGGGCGTGGTACCACCCGGTTGCTCAGGCCAAAGTACAGGGCCTTCTTGAGAGGCCCTACATGGTGAAAGAATCTGACCAACAAGGTAGCGGAGTGGAATAAGGACTCCACGATCCTCTATGATCCGTTAGCGGGCAGAACAGTTCATACGTCTATCGGATATGGCCAATTATCCTGGGGTAACCAGATTGCGCTTGAGCCACGTAGTTGCCAGTGATCCTCATTGTGGTGGACTTTATCGTCGATCCTGCCCAGTATAACGGAAAGTGTGGCGCTTGAATCAGTTTTCGACTTTGAATTGTATGATCTCGGTATTTTTCTTCGTGTTGTTCAATGGATTGTCTGTTCAAAACTGCTATCTATTGTAAAATCTTATGACATGTACACAATCGCCACAATAGCTCCATCCGGCACGTATTCCACTTTCTGTTTCGCTAGGCATTTTTCAGATATGAATGGAGATGAGCATAAGCTCTAAAATTGGATACAATGTGGTCAAACCCTTTTGCTTCATCTCGGTCGCCAAGTCGTTTTATTCGCTATAACACTGAGAGTTTGATTTCCACCATGGTCACTCAATGTTTCTCCCACTGTCTTGCGGGTTATACTTCTGAGTCAAAGTCTCCGGTTAGGGTTCCCAAAGAAAAACTGTTGTGTACTGACGGAGATTGCGGAGACTGCTATTGCACCACCAACTTCCGAGCCGAAGAAGCGAACACAATCAAAATGGCACAGGACAGTATGTTAGAAAAAAAGCGTCCTCCTTTGTTTCAAGGGTTAGCATTCCTTCTATTTATTGCCACCGGAGCGTTCTGAACGTTCGGTATAATTGACCAATCAGAGTCGTCGGACCACCCGGTTGACTACGCTGTCTGACTAATCAGGAGCGTCGAACCGCCCGGTCGAACACACTGACCAATCATTTAGGGCCGGAAGCTCACCCAGTAGCGGCTATTTTAGCCAAAAGTATGAGTTTTTCGAACTGACGTTTTGAAATTTAACCTCATTGATACCTTCTCCAATTGGATGATCAAAATAATGCTTCCTTCTCGAAT